ACATGCTGGGAAGAGCTGAGGCTGCTCTTGGCAGCTGGCAGCAGCGGTGGTGCTGGGAGTGAAGCAGCGGCAAAATTTGTGGTGGCTGCAGCCCCATCCCAGGACTGCTGGTGCCCACTCTGAGCCCAGCCCCCACCAAGAGCCATGCAGCGCTGGCTCCAGCTACCTGCCCTCCCCATGCACATCCAGGAGCACATGCCCCCCTGGGGGTGCAAGCAGGAGCCTCCCAGGAAGCTGCTCCCCTAAAAGCCACACCATCATCCTGTGCCCCCACCCCCACCTTTGGGCAGTACTTGCCCCTGCCCCCTCCCTCACTGCAGGGGCATTCATCTGTTGCTCCACGCCCCTTCCCTTCCCTCCCCACCCCCCCTTCCACCACACCAGACTTACCAGCTGGAGGCAGCTCTCCACACTGCCAGCTCTGCTCCATGCTGTGCTGCGGCTCTGCACAGCAGGGGCATTTATCAGCCAAATTATTGGCCCCATTGGGCCAATATCTGATACAGCAAATTTTTTTTATACCGGTACCAATATAATATTGGACTGATGTATCAGTGTACCTCTAATTTTTACTGTTTGAAGTTACTAAAAAAGCTACACAAAGTAATACAGGGACAGTGTTTCAAGCAGGTCTCCTCTAGGAAGAGACATTTAGAGGTGGTGGTGATGGAGAGCTATTTTTTTTTTTTTTTTACAACACAGTTAACACAGGGCTGTGCAATTGGAGGCCCCCCTCAGGGATTAACATGTGGCCCCCCGCTCCCACCTGATTGCTGCTGCCCTTATCATTCCAACTTTAGTAACAGCCAGGGTCACAGAGCTCCCCTACCACCCTCGGCTCCTGCTGCATACCCTCTCCCCAGAAAGGTCAAATATTTTTCAGGATTTTTTTCCCTCCCAAGTGTATTGTCTTGAGAAGCATTACACAGGACTCTGTCTTATGCTACAGAGACTTCATAATCTCCTAGTCAGATCTACTGCAGTAGAACTAACCACCCGTTTTTCTTGTTTAGGTCAGGAAAGACTTCTTTAAAGGACAATCAAAAGAAAACACTGGCAGAAATATTGTGGCAACACTTTTAATTTGGAGTTCTGCTTAAAGCTACCCTAAGCAGCCAAAAGCCCAGAACTAGCAACACTTAAGCTGGCACTACCTATAATTTTATAAGCAATGAACTTCAAACAGTAGCTGCACTAAGTTCACAAGCATGGCTAGTTTTATACAGCTGATTTTAGCTAACAGAAATCAAATAGCTAAACACTATCTACCTTTTTCCTTTCAGGACAATAAACTATGTTCATGTCCACTGTTTTCCCCGCCACACAAAAAAAACTTCATTTAAGGGCAGTCTTTATATAAATTTTTATCTAAGGCAAACAACAGTTACATTTACTCCAGCAAAGAGCGCCTATTCTTCTTTTGGAATTTTCCCACCTTTAAGACTATCTTCCCTTCACTGTGGAAGTAATCCTTGAATTCTTTACATGTTTTCCCCAAATAAAAATCATAATCTCTACTCCCAAGTCATTAATCTTTCTTTTAAAACACATTACAAGTCATTTTAAGTTGCATGTTTGCTTAGAATAACAACCTGTATTAAAGAGCCTTTGAAGCTGCTGAGCGTAATGTCTTACATAATAGCTCTCTGGTATGAAAGCTTTTACTACAGTGCTCAACTCAAATATGAAATAAGCACCAAAGCACCAACACAGATTCTTGTAACAGCTCAAACTAAAGAGGCTAAAATTTGTGATTACCTACAGAACAGGTAAACATTAACATTTCGTCCTTGTCCTTTTTAAATTTCAGCTGGAGAAGTCTTTAAGATGCAGGTACATCACAACATGCAGCACAGTGTTTCTATAGAGTGCTGCAAATGTTAATGTTAACACAAAATCTTAACTTTTGTTTGTGGTTCAAATAAACACCCCACTTCCCTTTTAAAGTTAAGGAATCCTAGCAATATAGAATACAATGCATTTTAGTGAAACCAATTATACCAAGTCTGCTATGGACCAAATTCTGGCTTGCAGACTGAAAAATTTGCAGAAGCACTTCTTGGTAACATCTTGAATACTGGAAATTATTCATGCCTGTGAATTAAGAGAGTGAAAGGTAAATTACCAAAAGGCAGTAAAGTAGTTTTAATGGCCTTTTCTGGCTTTTAGAAGACAGACTGATCTCATGTAGCAACTGCATATTCTGTTAGTAAAAAAGGCATCAGCTTACACCTGTTGTTAACCTGTTTCCTTATATTTATGTTACTAGTCACTTTATACATCTTAAAGCATGTTTTCAAATCAGTTTTGAGTACTCAGAAGACTCTACCAGTTAGGCTCTTTATTTAGATAACCGAAATACATTTAGGTGGGTGACTTTTATGCACTCATTTGAAAATGACAACTTAGTGCTCTTGTCAGTTTTACATTTACTTCGACTCTTCGCAGGTCTGCACAGACTATATTTGATAATTCACGTGTAACTTAAGTTGTTCCCCAATTACATATGTTAAAAATTAAAAGTTAAAAATTAACCTAGCATTGGGTAATGAATACATACAACTCTTTAATATGTAGCGTTACATTCTTTATCCTATCTAGGTAGCTACATTTCAAAATGCCAGCCTAAATTTTTATATCAAGAAAGCATCAGTTTTAGAAATACGCCACATTTGCCCCACACTATAACACTCACTGTTGCAGAGACTCCAACTCAGAAGGCAAATCACAGCCTACATAAGCTCCATTTTCCAAGCTGTACTCCAAAAGTGCATTAAAACAGGGATCCTATTAAAAAAAGTTAATGTTTAATATAATACATATGTAGTATAAACTATTAAAAGTTGATCAACAAGAAATGCAAAAATACAGGAGACCAACTTTTAGAATAATGTTTCTCTCAAAAAAAATGGAGCATGCAGGTGGTGTGCTTGTAATATAGGAAGACTAGTTGTTACATGCAACTAACATTTATATTCTTTACACATTTTAGATGCAAATGAAATAAGTGTAAACTCCAAATATTGCCTTCTGTGTATGCTCCTGGAAGGACAGAGCATGTCTTAACCTCTAACTTCTTTGATCTGTTGTAAATTATATAAGAACTGGTACTGGTAACAATAGAATAGGTAAGATTGCAATGAGAGGGAGAGGGATCCTTAAAAACATGCATTTCATTTAACAAAAAACAAGACTACTACTTCAACTATAAGGTGACCCTACAATAATTAATTAGACTCTAGACATGACAAATTGTTATAATTTTCATCTGAGCCCAGCAGTTTTTTCTGCCCAAGTGCAGGGGGGCTGGACTTGATGATCTTGTGAGGTCTTTCCAGCCCCTAATGTTTATGAATCCATGTCTAGAAACCAATTAGTGGAAGGTCATCTTACATTCATACACCTTGACTGCTGCAGTGGAAGCAGCAATGGTAGGGAGTCAAACAGCAGTTGTGGGGAGGAAAGGGGGCAATGAGGGAGTCAAATAGACAGATGCCTACCCCTTGTCTGTCACCTGTTCCCACTCCAGCACCTGACTCTCCATATAATACCTGCACCTCCCATGCCTGCTTTCTGTTGCTTGACCACTCCCCTTCTGCTTAACTCTTCTCTACCTGGCTGCTTAGAGTCACCACTCTTGACACACACCTACAGCAGCTCTGACCCCAGGAGTGGGTTGGAGCTCCAGCTGCTGCTACTGCCACTGCAGTCACTATTTCCTGGTCAGGCAAGGGCCAGAGACAGACAGAAGATGAGAGAGAGCAGAGGAAGGGCAAGTATTGCTGGGGGTTATAAAAGAGGGGAGTGAAGGGAAGAGGCTACAGGGTGGCAGAGGCCATGGCTCTGACTGGTCAGGTCTGGAGTTTGAGCACCTGCTGCACCTCCTCTCCATCCCCCACTTTCAGCTGCTTGAAGTCCTTTACTGAATCTAGCCTGTGGCCTCTACATTTGAAACAAATTTCTAAAATTAAGCAACACTTTTTCATATCAGGTAAATCCAAGATCAAGAATTCATCTCTCCATGACATCATATAAATACAGCACATACCCAAAGACAATGCACAAAAATCTTACTTTTACAAGCACATGAGGATTTCCAACCACAATTAGTAAAGCCTTTGCTCTGGTAATGGCTACATTAAATCGTTTCGCATTAGAGAGGAATCCCAGGTAGTTTCTTTCAAAGACTACTTCATTTGACCGTACCTAAAATGCGCAGAATAAAAAACAAAAAAAATTCTGTAACAGTCAACACTGGGTGCATCTACATGTGCCATTAAGGTGATGTGATAAATTCCAGCACAAATTATCACAGCACCTTAACAGCATGTGTAGATGCTCAAACTGCTGTGGTCCAGGGTACATGTGCAGATGCTGTGCCTGGTACTGCAGCAGTTTGAGTTGGGGAACAGCAGCTCTGGGCTGGCAGGGGATATAGTGGCGGTGGGTAGTCCTGGCCCCCAGGAGGTGCTGGCAGTGGTGAAGGTGAAGGGGCTGGTGTGTGTGGAGCCTGTGGCTAGGCAGCAGGCAGGGGTCTGGTCCCCTGCTGCCTGGGCTAACCAGGCACAAATGTACTCCTGGGTCAGCATTTACAGGTGCATTTAGGTAGATTTTTGCAGCAGTAAAATACTACTGTCCCCAAAAGTAATGTCTAATGATGGTGAAAATTAGTTTGCTGTAGTCTAATAGCATTGCACATGTAGACTGTGACACTACACCGTAAAATGAGTCTACTGCACAGTTAAGTGCATGTGTGGATACACCCACTAAGAAGGAAACAAGCCAGCAACCCTGCAATCAATTTTCTGATTTCTTACTGCACTAATTTATAACACAACATAGGCAGATTAAAGACAGGTTCCTTACTGCACTCCAAACTTGCTGAATCCTGACCTGGGGGAATCACAAGGTGGGCTGTGACTGCATTTTATGCTATTTACTGCTCTATTTGTACTTATGACCATTATGGGATCTAATGAATGGGACACAACAGGAGTCGAGAGCTGGACTCAATTTTCTGCTCCACCACAATGTTCCTTAGTGACCTATGGCAAATCAATGACAAGTCTCAATAAAATACAGTAATGGTTCCCTCATTACCTTGCTGGGGTGCTATGAAAGCATGTACATTAAAGGATATGAAGTGTTATCATATTACACTAATGAAGATTAGAGAGATTGTGCTTGTATGGTACAAGAGCTAATTAGCCTGGGTCCAGCACCATGCAAGTGTGGCCACAGTACTTTTAGCAGGAGATAACAAGTACAAACTCTACGGAGTGTAGCATTCCACTGTACAGCTGTACCCTAAGTACACAAGATGCATAAAAGATGCTTCTAGAATACAAACAATAAATAGAAGGTGATAAGATAATTTAGTCTCCAGGCACATTTGATGTTGGTGTCTCTGGGTGACAATAATAAAGTGGCAATTCTGGCCATGTGGATTCTTATCAGCAAGACGAGGACAAAACATCAACTAATATATACCAAATAGCCAAAATTAACTTCTGATTGTTATGATCCAGAATAATTTGTTTCTAGCAACCAGCTTAAATCTGGCCAGTTCTTCATCAGGTCTGACAACACAGCACAGTTAAAGAACCAGTTGTAAGAGCAGGGAGAGAAATTCCCAGGTGTAGCAGACACCAATTAGCAGAATAAAACCAGCTGTTTGTTCCCAAGGAAATTTGAGAATAAAAATTCATAAACTGGCTGAACACTAAGAACCAAGATCTTAACAATGATATTGGTTTTCTGGCTCATTATAACCTGCTGGATCCATGAATTCTCCCACACATGAAAGGTGAGAATGACCTCCCTCTTTGACAGGCCTAGATTTCCTTTTAATCAGCCTTTTTTCTTCTGCTAATTGGTTGTCTGCTAGATCTGGGAATTTCTCACCCCCTCCTTACAATCTTTTCTTTAACTATGCTGTGTTGGCTCTAACTGTTCAGACCTAATAAAAAATGTCTTGCATTCAAAAGCTTGTCTAACATTATCCCAATTATCTAGTTGGTCCAATAAAAGATATCACTTTAAGAAATCTTAGCCACTTGCATAAAGCTGGACCATCATGGCTACATCATTCAAACCATCACAAAAGGCATATTAAAAAAAGAAACAGACTACATACAGTAGATAATATAATAACCAAGTACTCCTGCCCTTGAAATTCCTCTACAGATCCAACTTTAATATCCATCAAATCCACATTTCGCAGAAGAAATCGAATTTTTTCTACCTAAAAAGATATTTGAAGAAAGTAGTTTCTAGGTTAGAGAACAATTACTCAAATTGGTTTTTTTTCATGAAAAAAACACATACATATGTACAAAATACGTATTTTAAAACCTCTCTCTCCACTACTGTGCTGAGATTGAGGGAAAAATGACAGTTGTTAACAAGAGATGTTGAGAGTACAGAAAGTTATTTGGAAAAAAAAGTGTCATTCAACACCTAACTCTGAAATACCCACCACCAGTATTTAGATAAAAGTCAAGGTACACTTTGTTTACTATGGACAAAGCTAGTAACACTCAGAAAACCTACCATGATAAATAGTTCTTAACTTGAGAAAGCAGCAGAACATATCCTTTTCCATTGCTGCGTTTTATGTAAGATTAGAGTTTTATAGAAACATTGTGATTGATAGTACAAGAATACTGAAAGTGAAAGTTTCTCAGACCAAGTGTATTACCAACCATACAGTTGGTCCAATAAAAGTTATCACTCTCAAGAATTATTGTCCTTTGCACATCACATCACCGTGGCAACAACATCACCTGGACACTACCATTGATGGTACACTAAGTGATACAAGTAGGAAAAGTCTGAAGTTTATGATATTTTCTTGAATTAAATAGCCTGGCTGGAGATGTAATCATGTACTAGTTGAAATACAGCAATTTATAAGTGTATAAAAATCAGATTCATACCTGTTTACGATATGGTGTAATCACTCCAATATCACTCACTGACACGGCACTGCTTAGATTTTTAGCAAGAAGGCAACAATAACGCACTACTTGAACTGCTTCTGTAGGATTAAACCAAGATGGGTTGTGTTCTTCACGCGTTTCATTGCCCTGCATCAGGAGATGGCAAAGAAGATGGTCAGGCATTGAGAGTGATTACAGATCTGGCTTAAGATATCCATCGACTGCCTTAGTGCTTATCATGTTTTGTTAAGAACTGAAATTATACTGCTCTATCATGGCTAATGAGTGTAGTTAGCTGCAGTGTACTGCAGAGATACTTAAGTTACCTCTAAATGGAGCCAGCTTTGGTAATGGAAACAATCTGGCCATGAAAGCACTGAATTCCACACAGGCTGGTTTCCACTGAGAGCTAGCTGTATGTCTACCTTATACCACTGCATAGGTATATTCTAAGATCTTTGCATATTATTTATTTCATTATGTTTCTGAAACTGGGAAGACTACCCTAAGATACATTAGCAAAAGAAATTTATTCGGAAGGTGTATCTACAAAATCTGCAATCTGATTTAAGAAAAAAATATATAAAGAAGCTAATTATTGTACTTCCAAGAACATGAACATCTTACCCAACAACCATCCTTATCCCATTTTAACAACATGGATATTTTACATACCTTCATGCCATGAAAAATTAGTGGAAACCCCTTCCTGGGTAATCTTTCCCAACCCAACAAAGAAGTTACTACTGAAATATCTGCACAAACTTCCAGCTCTTTATGATAAAAGAGTTTAGATGGCAAAGCAAGCAAAGCAGAATGTGATCTATAATTCTTCACAAGCTTTGTAATCTGCAAGGAGGAAGAAAAAAAAAGACACCCAAAATTAAAAGTAATTAAATGAAACTACACCTCCTTCATTGATTATGGCACAGCAGTAAAAAATTACTGCTGACTTGATAGACAGATCTGAAAATTTTGCATTTAATAAAGCTCTCTGCCAATATTCACTTTGGTTTATTAAAGAAAAGAAAACTGGTTTTTATGAAATGCTTCCATCTTCTCTCAAACCATAAAGAAATTATGATGAATTTGTTAATAGGATGATGCCATTCCCACTAATTGTTTCTCCACTGAGCTCCCTAAAATGGACATTCAGGTGTATTTCCTTACAAGAAACCACCTTGAGAGAGTGACAGAGTATGAGAAGCCACGAGTAGTAAAAAAAAACTAGATGCAGAGGAACTGGCAGAGAACCACACAGAGCAAAGTGCAGCAGAAGCCAGGAAACCATGTGTAGTACCAGTCTGACATTAAAGCCAGGTTCAGTTCCGTGCAGAATTATAGAGAAGTAACAGAAATTAGACATGAAACCTGTGCAGAAGGGGCCAACTAATTAACAGTACATAAATGTCAAAAAGATAATTCTCAACACTTTTACACAGCTAACACCTAGTGCCTGAAGTGCTGAAAATTCCTGTTGCTCCCAGTAACTTAAATACTTGCTTCTGGGTATGAACTCCCTTGGGTCTTGGCTTTCCTGAGCAGTTAAGGATTTAAACATGAGCAAGAAACTGTTGCTATGCACAGACTAGGGTTTCTTTGATCATCTGACCTACTTCTGTAGGTTCTTTAGAGCACACTTACCACGATCAGACCCTCAGAAGGAAGGTAAGGAGCTGGTGCTGGCACCTCTTATCCACTAATCCAGTGGACAGAGCAGTAAGGATGAGAGAGGCACACATTCAACCTGTTTCAGGCAACTTGCCCTCGTACTTCTCACCTCTTAGGAGAGTGCCCAGACACTAAAGATATTCTTGGGTAGGGTTCCCTCACTTCCTCCTGTTTAATTTTCCATGATAAGTAGAACAGCTTCTATACTCATTACACCAGAGAAAACACAAAACTTTGTAGCCTAGTTGGGGAACTCACCTACAAGCATCAGATACCTCAGTTCCAATGACTGCACAGGCACCCAGACCACAGCTAAAAGGCAAGGTCAGCTTCTTAGGCAGATGGTTTTGATGCTAGGTCTAATCTTTGGTGAGTGCTCCAACCACCAGGCTCTTTACTCCTTGGCTTTTTAGTAACATGGAGCTACACTGGTGACACCATCATAACTGCTTTGCAACAGATGCACGTAAGCTAGACCTAACTTCAGAGAAGGTTTACAGCTGTTAAGGGACGCAACCCGCAAACTAGGCACACAAAAAACTCTTGGAAGGCAGTTCTTATTCAAACAGGCTGGTTTTGGTGGATCCCATTCTTCGGTTATGAACTCAAAGTAGCTCTAGGCCTGAAGAACCATAACTGTCAATTGGACCAACTTCCCTCCCATCTCAAAAAAGGATAATTATTATTAGGCTCAACTTTAATCATTTAAGTTACTGTATGCAGATATTCACAACCTTACCTATGGACAGGAAGAATGGAAAATTTACTCTTTCCCTTTAGCCATGCATTTGTACGATTGCTAGAGCCTACAAGGCCTAGCAGCTGAAACATCTTGCATGCCTGCCTCTGAACTGTGGCAGCCTGGCACACATTACTAGTACTTTAAATGCCTGGTGTACTACAGGACTGGGCAGCTACTTTACAGAAGTCTGTGAATTCTCTCATTTACTTTACCTCAACAGTCAATTGAAAAATAGACTCAAGTCAGTTAGTCATACCCTACGTTAATAATCCTTAACTAGAGAAAGCGTGACAAGGGGACACACAAGCTCTTTATATATGCATACCAACAGGCCACCACAATAAACACAATCTAACTCCTTCCCCCTTCTGCATACATCATTGCAGTTATTTTCTCATCTTGAGATCAGACAAGAGTTTAGGAAAAATAAGGATCCAACTGTTGGATGGGAGAATTTTGAAGTACTTTAACTGTCTTGGATAGTTCAGCAAGTGGGTCTCCTTCAAATAGACCAATGCAACCAATACTTCATGGTTTTAGACTTAGACCATTACACTTAAAATATACTTTGGCTTTTTGACAAGACTAAAGGTATTAGCCCTTATGTCCTGAACAGATTCCTACTATGGTGATTATCATTCACCAATTCCTGCTATGGTAACACTTGCACAACTCCACAGTTTCATTTTTTGCATAGGGCGTGCATGAGATTCTGATCAGGCAAGGAAGCTCAGATAATGTGTGTTAAATCTTCAAGTCTTCAAGCAAAATGCTAGACAATAGAACCTGAAATGACTTCCTTTATATAATCAGAAATTAAACAAGGAAGGGGAAACCTAGCAAAACACAATATTTTCCTTTCTTTCTGTGGATCACTTTTTTAAAAATCAGTAGAAAGTTTTGGTTTAACTTACCAGCAGAGGATTATATGATCCACAAACACCAAAAGTATCCTCATCTCTCAAATAAAGAGACAATGCCATTAGTCTTTCCAGCATGGATGAATCTAATCCATAAGCAACTGCAAGTCTAGATTTGATTACTGGTCCGAGCTGCATTGGATCCCCGGCAAGAACTATCTGTAGATACAGTAAAAACCATTTGTATTAGAGGCAAATATTTACGTCAGAAAGGTTAATTAAATTACTATAAAACACTGTGGGCCACTGGGTCTAACAACTATTTTTGTAATACATTAACTTGGTATCTGACTCCCCTACTAACCCAAGATGCTTGTTACTGTCAAGAACACATTTATATTTTGATACAATGCACACTTGTTTACACCTGAAACTGTTTGATTTAGAAAGATAATTCTTACAACTTGAAAAAATACTGAAAGTTAAAATATACAGCACTTAAAAACTAAAAGCTTTAAGGTAAGTAATAACTTCCATTTATAATTTATAACATTTTATTACAAGTTCTCAGAACTATATACAAATTTCCTGGCAATAAGAAGCTTATATGGCATCATTTCAGGGTTTGCGATAACTCATTTGAAGTCACTACTGTAAGTGGAAAAAAAGCAAGCCTACTTATTTTGGTCTGCTTTTAGCAAGCAATTTTAGTAAATACCTGTCCATTAACTTCTGAAATCAATCCAAGAGGAATCAGGCATTCTGGTTCACTTGCCTGCCCTGCTTCATCCACAAGTGCATGCGTGAAATGTCCACACCTAGAATTAAATAGAATGAACTCAAATAACAGTGTTGCTTTAGGTTTAGTATATTCTGCCACCCTGTGGTTGACCTAGGCAAAGTAATTCTGAAAAGTTTACAAGGATTGTGTGTGTGTGCTGTACAGAGTCAGATCCTAGTGAACACAAAAGTATTTCTGTACTTGAAGACTTTAAAAGTAGAATAAAAACAAAACAAAAGCCCCCCAAAACAAAAAAAAAAAAACTTTGCCCTCATCTTTGATTTTTACCATATTCTGAAATTATAAACAAACATTCCCTACCTTTAACTTCCTTACCCTTTCACTTTCTTCCATTTCAAGAAGCAGCAAAATGACTAGTTTAGCACTAAATCTCTAGGCTGCCTTCTTCCACAAAGTAAGTACACTAGTAACTCTTGAGTTGACTGGGTTTGAATGCATCAACCTACAGATGGTTACAACTGAAGCAAACAAAAGTCTAGCAGTGCTTGTTAGTATTAACTACTAAAATGCATTCAGCACAGTATGGCCCCTGACATCAACACAACTGCTAAGGGAGCCAGAAGGAAACACTGTTGTTGAGATAAAAAACCCTGCATCAACAAGCCTCCTCTCCTTGACGGATTTACCTCTACTTTGAAAGTCTGGAAGAATCTCCAAATTTACCATGGAGAAGAGGTTTACAAACTTTAATAGATCTAAAAACTTAGCTGTGAATGCAGTGCTTTAACAGTTAATAGTTCTCCTATTAAAACAGCTGGAAGCATTTTGCAGAGTGGCCCAATTTTCAGTTTTGCAGAATGTCCCTGCACATTGAAAACATACATATGCATCTATAGTACCTTATTCCTATTTGATAAAACATTCCCGCACTGCTGCATGTGGTGATTATTATCCTAAACCGTGATGCTTTCCAAACGTCTTCCCCATCTTTGCAATAAAGTTTCACTGTATCACTGATTGCCTGCAAACATAGAAACATATAGTAAATAAGTCTCCTATTATTAAAAAACCCCCACATACTAAAAACCTAGAAATATGGCTACATGGAGTAAGTTACTATAAGGTAAGCTCACTGTGTTGACCACTCTGCAGTAATTGCCCATCTGCATGTTCTAGCCCCTAAGTTAAGTGTAAAACAACTTATCCTACTTTCATTGTGTGCATGCTCTTACCCTTCAATCAGCTGTGTGGAGCAGTCAATGTGATAGTATAAGTTCACCCCCCTTTCTTACCTTGCAGTAACTTGCTTGTGTAGCTACTGCACATGACGTAGCTTCTAGGCTAAGTACAGACCGTCAAAAAGCTCGAGGTTGAATTGTTTCAATCTTTGCAGGTTAGTCTAACCCAGGGGTTTTCAACCTTTTTTGAGCAGTGTACCCCCAGTGGCTGGTTGAAGAGCAGGGGGGGGAGCAGCAGCTGGTCATGGAGTGGGGGTTGGATGGCAGCAACTACACAGAGAGGCAGCATGAGGTGGTGAATGGCAGCCGCCACTGAATGTAAGCTTCTTCCCCCATGTCCAGCCATCCAGGCAGCACCTGTTCGCCTGTAGAGGGGTGCCACTGCCCTTGCCCCACCCAGCCCTGCTTGTGAGGCAGCAGTGCGGGGTGGTAGTGCTCTGTCCCCTCCCGCATGCACATACCCCCTGGGACATTTCAAAATACCCCCTGGTTTAAGCAAATGATTAAAATCAATAGGCAAGTGAACAGAGATTCACTTTTGATTTCAAAATTACAGCCACATGCCTGCAGTGGCCAAGGCCAGAAGCCAGGGGGGAGGGGTGTGCACTACAGCAAATAGTTTTGACTGGAACAGACAGTTTGGGCAAAGCATCCTGGCACGCTGGGGAACTGAGTTATCTTGAATCTAGAGGGGATCTGGGACAGAAGTTCAATAAGACAATTTAACCTAAATGATTTAGGTCTGATACTAACTACATCCATCCAGATGCATCTTAAACTGGTTTAAGCAATTTTGAAAGCAGTTTATGTGCACTGAACTTGTGTTATGTTACAAATCTGAACTGGTCTCTGATCACATATACCTGTTTATGTGCAACTTCTGTCCCTAGGCCTCAAGACTACTTTGAAGATCAACCCTACTGCTCTCAAAATTTTTAAAACTGCAGAAGTACTGCAGTAAGATTTTATTTTAGAAGCTATACACTGGTTAATATTTTTTGGGCCAAGTCATGAACTTGAGGGTCAATTTTTCATGAGCTTTCCCAAAGGAGGAGGAGAAGGAATGCAAAATAAAGCACAATACTTTTATTGCTAAAAAGAAAACTATTTTCTTCAGTAGTTTTTGGACCAAATTTGAACACATACACAAGCAGGACAGAGCAGAAATAAGTGTTGTACGTTGCTGTGCAGATCATGGTCATTTACTCTCTTCATAAATGGACTCAATTTGAGAGACAGGCTGAGATAATGGGGCTGATTTTACTGCACTCTTACAAGGTGCCAGAGAAAGCACATGAAGAAATCCACTGGACATGAATGGGCTACTTGTGGAAAAAACACTACACAGCAAGTGTTAAGTATAACATCAGTTTACACCATTCTATCAAATGCTATTAAATATTTTCCCTTTCATTTTATAGTGAATTATTTTTTATTCCAAAAGTACATCTGCAGTTTTCCCTAGCCAGCTTCAACCATGGTAATGTGTCACAGAAAGAACACTTAAAAATTAAAGGTTCGCAAGCCTTTTTTAGTATTTAAATTGCCAAATTTCTGCATATTTACCTCCTCACTTCTGCAGCTAGCATTAACTCTAACCATAGCTCCTGGTTTTAGCAGATTACTTTCATGCAGTCGTAGGCAAATTAAATCTGTTGCACTGTTAGATGGTGCGCAGACCAAAATTCGACTGCCTGGTAAAGTATAATATATCTGCATTTAGGAAGAGAAAAAGGTTTTTATTAATTGAAACTTACAAAAACCTGTTACAAAATAAAGCAAATTATTCAAAATAAGCCGTTAAAACAGATAATTCTGAATTCCATGACTTCATAATTCAGTTTAATTTTGAAGAAACACCTCTTAAAAAAATGACATCTTATTTGTGTTAATCAGACTATCCCCTCTCAAACTGACATGATGTAGTTTTCAATCATAGAATCAATGATTCGGAAGAGACCTAGACAGATCATCTATTCCGACCCCCTGCCCTGGGCAGGAAGGAGCACTGGGGGTGGGAGGGGTCATAAGACCCCAGCCAGGTGCCTATCCAGTTTCCTCTTGAAGATCTCCAGGGAAGGTGAGAGCACCACCTCTCTGGGAAGCCTATTCCAGGCTCTGGCCACCCTTACAGTGAAGTAGTTCTTCCTAATATCTAACCTAAACCTATCCTCCCTCAGCTTGTGGCCATTGTTCCTGGTGACTCCAAGGGGGGCCCTGGTGAACAGACTTTCCCCGAGTCCCTGCTGGTGGCCCCTGATAAGGTTGTAGGCAGCCACAAGATCCCCCCTCAGTCTCCTCTTGCGGAGACTGAAGAGATTCAGGTCCCTCAGCCTCTCCTCATAGGGCTGGCCACGGAGGCCCTCAACCATACGAGTGGCCCTCCTCTGGACCCTCTCCAGGTTCTCCACGTCCTTCTTGAAGTGCGGCGCCCAGAACTGGACGCAGTACTCTAGCTGTGGCCTGACCAGCACCGCATATAGGGGGAGCAAGACCTCTCAGGCCCTGTTAGTGATGGTTATATACAGGGACCTACTGAAATCAAGGAAGCAGCTGGTTGAGTTTGCCAGATGATCATGGGGCCGGCTGTCATTTTTGAGAGCTTACTGAGATGGGATCCCTCATACTTCTGGCCAAGGAGCACTGGTGGCACCCCCCCACCCCCCTTGCTGCTCTTTGGCTGAGGGCTGTCCATCACATCAGCCCTTCCCTTGCCACTGATTGGCAAAGTGGGGCAGGACTGCAAAGCAAGTAGCCCTCTCAGCCAATCAGTGGCAAGGGGCAGCCACCATCTTGGCTGTTCCACTTCGCGCTGGCAGGGCCCCCTCCCATAACAGGCTGAGGCTGGGCTGCAGCAGCCATGAGGACTATATATATAACTAGGGATACATATCTATATTCACCAGAGCTTTAAATTAAAATACCAAAATAATAAGAAAATGCTGAACACAAGTCATTTAAAGATTTTTTAGTACACGTGTAGAGATCTTCTCTGGACTATACTGAGGTTGAAATGTATTGAAAAAACTTGAAAGATTCAAAAGTAAAATTATGTAAAACCCCTTAAATAAGCATAATTGAAATATTTTAGTGTTTGTTTTGGTAGTTATGTGCAATCATGTGGTGATTCCAAGTGATTATTTTGTAATCTGTTACCTGTAAAATAGCTTCTATTATTGTTACAGTCTTCCCAGTTCCTGGTGGTCCAAAGAGAATATAAGGAGTTGGACGACATTCACCGCTGAGGATTCTTTTCACTGCTAATTTCTGATGCTCATTCAGCACAGGATTGAAAAATTCGCAGTCTCTCATCTTGGGTGTCATGACTTCCATGACTACACTCAAAGCAGGTAAGTGTATTTTGTAAGCACAATGGGGAAGAGATTTATTATGATCATGCAAAATTAAACTGACAAAATTTAAAGTGATACAGACTTTATAACAAAAATCATTTTAAAATTACAGGGGCAGCTAAAATTAGCAAATTGGCAACTTATAAACACTACCATTTCCATTCCCAACAATGACAAAGCAAGTCAATTTGTTTTCGTTTCACAGGCATAGTGTGACTTTTATTTTAAGTTCAAAGACATTTTAATGGATCCCTTTTTGCTTTTTAATTTAAGGAAATAATCCTTGCACGTTTTCTCTGAGCACTTCCCAGTTTTTCAACATCCTTTCTGGTATATCTACACTATAACTGAACACAATGGTCCAGTAATACTCTTCCTAACACCACACACAACAGCATCTAGAATTGCTTAGAAAGCTGGTTCAAATGCCATTTCACTGGGTCCAAAGTACTGCAGTTGGAAAACTTGGTATTGTTTGATTCTTTAGTTGCTATGCTGTAAGCTAGAGTGTAAGTTTAGCCACCCTTCCCAAACTTTGTGTAGATACTTCAGGATTCATTAAGAGAGTGCCTTTCAAAGTAAGATATGCTACCTTGTACTTAGTTCATAGTAAGTGTCCAAACTGATGTAGAAGACCTAAAACTAGGAGGTGTACCGATACATTGGTCCGATATCAGATCGGTACCAATACGAAGAAAATTCTCTCATATCAGGTATTGGCCCAATGGGGCCAATAAATGCCCATGTTGTGTGCAGCCACAGCACAGCATGGAACAGAGCTGGCAGCATGAAGAGCTGCCTCCAACTGGTAAGTCAGAAGGGGAACGGGGAGGGAAGGGGTGCGATGGGGCAGATCAACATCCCTTGCAGTGAGGGAGAGGGCAGGGGGGCAGGTGTTACCCAGCCAGGGCGGGGGAGGAGGGTGCGGGACAGAGGTGTGGCTCATGGAGTGGGGCTGGCTCCCGCTGCTGCTTGCACCCCGGGAGGGCAAGGGGAAGGGAAGGGCATGTGCTCAATGGCCTGCCTCCACCCAAGCGCCAGGAAAAGCTGGGAGTTGAGCTGCCGCAAAATTTGGGGTGGCTGCAGCCTCCTCCCAGTGCTGCTGGAGCCTACTCTGAGCCCAGCCCCCTGCAAAGAAAGCCCCACGCAGTGCTGGCTACACCCCACACAGCTGCAGCCTGTGACACGCTGATCTGGAGGCACTCTTCCCCTCCCTCCTGGGGTGCAAGCAGGGATGGGAGCTGCCCTGTGATGACCAGAACCAAAGAAATTAATAAGCAATAAATATGTGCTTCTTGGAGGCATTTGGAACATTTTGTCTAATATGAAGCTTGTATTTTTGTAACCCACAAATGTAACTTGCAACTGTTTGTGGAACTGACTAGGCCTCAAAGACAAAGCCATAGCTGTGAAATTAGCTGACCTAATAATTCTCTCTCGCTCAAAATTTAGCTTTGATGATGATAAAAACTGGATATAACTGCCCAGCTTATCTAGTACATTTCAAAAAAGAACAGCTCAAAAAAAGCATAGTCAGAGAGTTTTGAAAGGGCTAGATTTAGGTGGGGTAATGTTAATTTTCAACTTGAAGAGGTTGTGTTGCAATTTGCTTATTGGATAAACCCCAGCTTGGGCAGTAACTTCTTATAATAATTTCTAACACCTTTTAACCCCATAGGATAATAGCTATAAAGCAATATTATGAATGGCTATATAACTAAAAAATTAGCATAATTAGAATATAAAACAACACACACATCATAGTAATCCTTGGGAAGGACGGAACAGAAGAATCATTGCTGTCCCATACCCCACGGATATCTCTTACTCCCTGTGAGAGTGAGACCAGATCCTGACTGAGGGGCTTCCAGGGCTTCCACTGGTATCCTTTCAGCAGCCCAGTTCAGAGACGTCTGACTTTGCTAATTCAACTTGCCGTGCATCTCCTAACCGAAGGACTACCAATAAGTTACTAACCAAGTGGAAACTCTTAGTTAATTTCTTTATCTGTTTTATTATCACTGTCAATTTTAGTCTGTATTGTTGTTATGTTATCTGCTTATTAACTTAACCTTTTTATTAACTATTACATATGCAAACTATATCTTTTGTTGTTATAAATAAAATTCATTCTTTTTATAAGTAAAACTTGTCATTTCTTTCCTTTCCAACATCACCTTCTCAAACCCAAACCAAATAGCCCAGCAGCTAATAAAGTTGCAGTGCTCAGTCAGTCTGCAACTAAATTAATATACTCACAGGGCCCAGCTGGCCTGTGACACTGCCCCCACCCCATGAGCTATGCCTCTGTCCCACAGACGCTCCCCCTGGCTAGGCAGCGCCTCCCCCACCCCCTCTCTCCCTCACCACAAGAGGCATTGATCTGCTCCCCTAACACCCCTTTCCTCTCCCCTATCCTTCCACCATACCAGACTTACCACCTGGAGGCAGCTGTATTGGATGGCTATTGGCCGATATGCCTCCTTCAATATTGCCTGTTGGTATTAGTCTCCAAAAATCTATTGGTGCACCTCTACCTAGAACACTATAATTTAACATGCACATGGATTCCTGCTGAACTGTTCTAGTGCAAGGCACCTGGTGCTTCCAGGATCTGGGGCTTAGTAAAAAGTCCACCACCAGACAGACTGCTCCAGGGCTGCCAGGCTGTTTGTCCCAAAACCAGGAATATCAGAGCCACCTCCCAGCTCTGTGGCATGGATCCGTAAAGCCTCAGCTGAAGATAGGGTGCTTAAAGACATATAACAATGCATGCCAGGGCTTCCAAGTTCTGTAGTACTGAGACAGTCTGTGGTAGCCTGCCTTGAATCACAAATCCTGGGAAACCCGGCAACTTGGCCAGTGAAACAGATATTCTTCTTAGTTTCACTGCTGCTATTACAAGAGCTGACATGTAATGAGCAGGTGCTATAGAAATCAACTACAAATACCCCCATAATAAATGCAATCTTTCACGACCAATATTGTTATGGTCTATCAATTGATTATTTTTAAATTAATTTAACAAAGACTTCATTGACTGTATACTTTAAAACCCAAATGAGAGACTGAATCCTTTAAAGAAATCCAAGATTACATCAACAGAGAGAGATAATTAGCCATGTTATCTTATGCATCTAATTCAGTTAGTCTTCAAGGTGCATCTCTATCATGCCTGTTATATCAGCACAGTTACCTTTAAATCAGCCACCTTTGCAATTGCATCCAAAAATGACAAAAACATTTGATGATAACCATATTCTATACAAGTGTATGGATTGACATTAATAAATGGCATCATCCTTTAATTCTTTAAAGACTAGGTCTCCTTTCTCCCTTTCCAGAATTTTACATGGTGTCAATTTAAAAACAAAACATGTTAAACTAACTTAAGCTTCCTTTTTAACATGGTAACCTATTTGGTATAGAAGAGGAACACAGCAGACATAACAAAATTATACGAACGCTTTTGACATTTATAAGAATAGCATATGAAAATAAATTGGAGAATTGTGGACTAAACAACAATCCATTTTATGGATCGACAGTCTGCAAGCAAAGAACTTCTCTAAATGAACTGGTACCAGATTGGCAGGAAGTTCCTTAAATCCACAAGTAGCATTTGGGTCTAATGCTACTTAAAATTTTTATTAATGACTAGGATGCAGGTAGACAGATGCAAGGATATCTATCCAATAAGCAGGCAATATAAAACTTGGAGACACTACAAACACTTTGTAGGACCGATTTTAAATTTAAAGGGATCTAGAGAAATTGGTGGATGTGGCAATAGACAGCAACATGAAATTTAAAACAGACAAATGTAAGATGCTATACACAGAGAAGAGAAACCAAATGCACAAATACAGAAAGGGGGTAAACTAGTTTGGTAATTGCACTGCCAAGAAGTATCTGAGGATTATAGTGGACCATGAACTCAACATGAGACAGTCAATCCAGTGCTATCACAAAGAAGGCACGTGCAATTTTAGGTTGTGCTAACAGCAGTTTTGTATGCAAGAGACAGAAGATGACAGTACTATTTTACTCGATGTGGGATATCCATCAGCTGTAATAGTATAGGTCATTTCTGGGCACTTAGGAAAATATAGGATGTGGAGAAACTGGATTCATACAAAGATGCTTAAAGAGTTGAAATACAAGTGATTTGAGGAAAGGTGATTAAACTAAGTATATCACCTTGGAAAAAATATGAAAGAGGGTGGATGTTATAGCAGTTTTCAATTTCCTTTTTTTTTTTTTTTTTTTTTTTTTTTTTTTTGTTT